AAACACAACTGTGTCACATACTTATAGCTGGGCAGTTTTCCTTTGGTTTCCCGTACATATGAGAGGTAGCACTTCCACAGGTCAATGTGCAGAACCTTCATTAAGCACCTCTGAAATAACTGAGCAAGAGATTGAACAGTGAACAAACTCTTCTGACACACAAGATGCAAAACATTAAATTACATATGCATACACGCTTTTAATTACTGCAATCCTTTACAAAAAAATAGAGACTCCAAAACCATGTTGGATGTAAATACAAACACACATAGAAGCCAACAAATTCTAGATTATGCTCCAATATATACAGTATATTGAAGTTATAATTATGCTGCAGATGCTTACATTGATCAGCTGGCAATACCATGGTACTTCAATATAACACTGAATGATGAACATTCATATATCACGGCATTTGCATGGTAATCCAAGGTAACGCAAAGAATACCATGTCCTAAAAAACATGGTACTTTTGTGTTAGTTTTCAGAAACAAAGGGTCATGAAAGGTACGGGACTCCAAATTGACCCCGTATGACTGCTGTTTTGTTGCTAAAATGCATTAACAGTGAATTGCTCACTGAACTGGGATTTTTTTTTTTTAAATAAGACAATATATCTGACGAAGAATCCATTTCTTCCCCTCATTTTATAATGTCGGATTGCCTGTTTGCTGGATTTAGCAGAGCAAACAGGATATTTCTAGTAAAGCAGGGTGTTATTTTACTTCATTACAACATCTTGATGTTTACTCTGCCTGAGCTTTTGAGGACAAAGTGGTGACAGAGCTCAGCTTTTAAGGTGTATGTCACACCTGTGTATGTCAGAGTAATATCATACGATCAATAAATTCGACATGTGGCTTCCATGCGAAAACAAACACTTACCTTTTCAACCTTGTCATAGTTTTTAGCCTTGATCTGTGGACACATTTGAAAACCAATATTATTAAAAAAGTGGTCTGTAGCAAGACTGATTTGCTCCACACATGCACACACAAACCCTTTAACGTCAACAATGTAACATTCACACAACTCTGCAGTTAACTCTATTCATGAACTGCATGAGATGCTGCATACGGTCACAAGATTCACCAGAGCTAGGGTTTGAGGAATTACTCATTTCATGTGTGTGCAGACGGGCCAAAAAGCAACAAATGTTGTGATAGGTATTGGGCATTATGTGTTAGTAAAACTACTCATTTTTGGAGTGCATAGTCATGAAAAAACATTGACCCTGTCTGAAGCTTTTACAAAGCTAGTTTTGGCGCAATAAGTAAAAACAAGTACTATAGAGTTGGGCATGTGTCATATGAAATATCACGCTCAAATGATGACGATAACTTAAAATTCAGGTTTACTCAAGTTTATTTCTCTTATTCAAAATCCTCCGAGCAATAAAGGTTACAAATCAACATTTAATAATTTTTTTGTAACATTTAAGCCTCAAATAAATACTTTGCTTTGAATAAGAGCCAACAATAAACAGCAAAAACATTGCAATACTGTATATTAATAAAGCCAAAAAAAACACCAAGAAATCAATTTCTCAGCATTTCTTGCCACTACATCATAAACAGAAATAAAACTTCAAGGCTCAACAATAAGGACTTATCTCTGCTGGCATGACACAAATATAACCACTCTTTTTATGTGTTAGAACAAATATAATTTACATTTTTCATTAAACTCTAAGTTCCCCCAAAGCTGCCACAATCAACTATGATATTAATGCCATGACAGCTATAAAAGGAAGCTGTTTCTGGCATGGATAAAAACTAAATAAAAAAGGTAACTGCAACTCAACTCAGATTACAGACCCTTTTCCTCACGATTCTGAGTTTATAAAAGATTGCGAGTTATAAACTTGCCATTTTTTTACTTTTTTTTTCTCTGAAATAAACTAACTTTTAAGTCTGCCTTTAATAATTGTGAAAAAGCCACAAATATCTTCTCTTTTTTTTTCTAGTGACAAAAAAAAAAAA